CTTGCTACTTATGAGGATGACACAGGAGGACTGTTTGAGTCCAGGAGTTGGAGGCTGCAGTGAGCTGTGATGGCGCCACTGCACTCCAGCCTGGCAATAGAGCAAGATCCTATCTCAAAAAAAAAAGTTGAATTCCAAAAAAGAATCTTGAAGTTTTGAAGCATAAAACATTAAAATAGTTTCTATAAGCCAAGAAAAGTTAAGTGCAACGTAGAGTTCCTCTAAGTAAATATAAAATATACACACATATATTTAAAACATATATGTTAATATATTAAAGCAAGCATTGTTAATCCTATAAAAAGCTACACTGAGATTTAAAAAAACTCTGAAAATCAGGTCAACAAAGCTCTACTGCCACCTATAGATTAATTCTAAATGGGTAAGACCAACATTTTTCCCTACTTTATAGGAATTATTCAAAAGCATAATATATATAGGAACTAAAGTGATTAAAATAAATTTGAAATGTACAAATTTACATTATTGCAAATTTAACCTACACGCAAGGATCTATCAATCAACTGAAAATGAGAAAGTATAAAATGTGATCATATATCCCTGAGCTTTACCCATAAATCTATTCTTGGAGTAAATCATCATTCAGGAAAACTTCAAAATAAAAAGTCTAGCCAAAATTTGAAAAACTTGCTTGTAAATAACAAGGCAAGTCCACACAGCTGGAAACTGATGCTTTGAAATCTTCCAGCATTATCTTTAGAAAACTTAAATTCAGTTATATAAAACTTTGTGTTGAGCTATAACTGTTGTACAGGTGCATCCTGGCCCACATTTCTTAGTAAGTTTATTTCAACACTGTCAGTTACAGCATAGCCAAAGAGACCTATTTTCCTGTGTATTCGTCTTCCTTTTAGTCAACAGAGAGAGCTCTCCACGCAGAAATTTTTTAATTAGTACAAAGCCAATTGTACCAACCAAAAATGCCAAATGACACCTTGCTTAATTTTATTTCATTTCATAAACTTTCACAAAGGAAAAAAGGAAATTCTGAAGCAAAGACATTTTAGAAGTCTAGCTAATAAAAATCAAATTTTTCTTAAACAATTTGCAAAACATACCAACTTTAAAAGCAGAGCATATTTCTCATCTCAGTCTATATTAATATCCATAGCTATGGTAATTTTTGTTTTTTGTGGGTTTTTGGCAAGAAAATCCCTCTAGCTCTAAAGTTCGAAGTCTTTTAACTAGGCACAATCTCCTCTTCTTTGTACTGCCTTATGATGAAAGCTTTTGGGAAAGTGGATGGGAATTGAGTGTTAACAATGACAGTAGAGCAAAAGAAAGACAGCACAACACAGAAAATGAAAGCAAAATAGAAGCAGGTCTCCCTCTCTCCACCTGATAAACTCCAAGACAGTTGCAAAAACTAGATAACTCAATAACCACACTTCTCAGAAGCACATAAAATCTGTATAGTAAAATTAATGACTCAGAATAATGTAAAAAAATATGTTTTGCAATTATTTAAAACGAATATGCATTGTAAAAGAATCCTGTAAGTAAATTTGACTTCACAGGGCTTAATTTCTTTCAGCTACCAAATTGGACTTATTTCTCGTTTCAGATATGGTAGAAAAATATATAAAATATTATTGGAACAGGTGAATGATCAAAAGATACCAGCATGTGATCTCTCTCCATATACAATTAGAGGATTCACTCTCAAGAATCTCATTTCCTAGTTTGTGGGTGGTTTGGCTCCTGTGTTTCTTCTGGATATTTCTACCTATTAACCACTTCATTGCACACTAATGAATAAGAAAAAGCAGACAATATACTTACAGAGCTGTGAATCAAAGCTAAGATTCAAAAGTCTTCTAATTTAACCTCAACTCTGGTTGATTCCAAACACTGTCATCTAACACATTACTCTATGTACTTTGTAACTAAGTGGTAGGATGAAACTTCAAAATCAATTCAATCCTTCTTCATTTCACAGTTGAGAAAATCATAAGAAAACTAGTTAGTGCAGATATGTTGTCAACTAAAGTTCTGTAACTTCTAGACCAATATATTTTCAGCTAAATAATGCTGCTTTCCCCAACTGTTCCTTATTTTATTTTCTATGATGTTCTTGCTTAACCAAACACTGCCTGTGAAAGACGATAAGCTGAAGCATATCTAGCATGGCCAGAAAATTCCAAGTCTCAGATTAAATACAAACACACTATTTAATTTTCTATCCAACATTTTTTAACTGGATGCTACTGCTAATCCCCCTATCTGCCAACACTTTCCTATTTATTGTTCATTCCATTTCTCTATCACCATAATTGTTTTATACAGCATCCTATGTTACATAAAACATGATGCTAATTATAACAAGCAAATACTGAATGTTCATTGTGTTAGAAACTATTTAAAGCCTTTTACATGTAGCATCTCACTTAATCTTCATTTTTAAATAAGAAAAATCGTGTAATATCCACTTTATAGTGGCAAAAATCAGAGCCTCAGAAGTTAAGTGATTTATCCTAATTCACAACCAATAAGAGGTAGAACTGGGAAAAGTAACCAGCCTTTCTCCAATGTTGATGTTCCTAATTTCTACATATAACAAGTGCATATAACTACATGGCTTGCATTTTTAATGTGAAGATAACTCAAAATTTGGGGGCTACATAAGAATTTAAAGAGACTTTGTATTTGAAGATGATTCTTAACACATAAAAATTCTTAATTTCTTTTTTGCAAAGACATGACCCAAGTATGAACTCTTAACTCCTTTATAGATAATTAAAACTCCAATCTGAAAATCAAATGGAAAAGGACTGCAGCAATACTTCAACAAATGTCCAGATCAGCATTCTAAAACTTTCTGCAGTAATAGAAATGTTTTCTATCTGTACTGTCCAATATAGTAGACACCAACCACATGTGATTATTCAGCACTTGAAATGTATCTAGTGTGAGTGAATATCTGAATTTTGAATAATCTGTAATTTAAATTTAAGCTTAAATAGCCACATGTGGCTAGCAGCAGCACAGGTGTAGAAGACAGTGTCAGAAAAAGATGAGTGAAGAAATTTTTATTGCCTTTATTTGGAGATTTCACTAATAGTCAAATCAATTTAAATGTCTTTTTCACTTGCTCCAGCTTCAATTATTAACTTAAACATATACCTCCAAATAGATCTAAATAAACCAAAACTTTCTATATTTAAGATTTTTCTCTGTGTATGTGAATGGAAAAAATAATTAAAACCTGTATTAGAACAAAGCTTCATAATTAGAAACTTTTAAATATTTGGACAGCTAAGATGAATCTGAAAACTCTGCCACCTATGGGAAAAACTAAAAAAAAGTCAAACATGTTTTCAATTCTCTTCATAGTAAACGCTTGATAATAAAGTGCTTAATAAAGTGCTTACCTTGATTCTCTGCTACTATTTCTAACACTTTCTTCATCACTGTGTCCATTCATTGTAAATATCAAGAAGTTTTAAAATAAAATATAAATCTTCCCAGTTTAAAAGATGAATATAAATACTGACACCTCCTTGAATATAAAAAAAAAAATTCACAGATGAATTTTCTTCCACATTCACAGGTTTCCTGGGACCCTCTTTGATTCACCTAAAGAAAATATATTAACAAAGTAAGAGAATTTCCTGTAGAAAAAACATAAATAAACCACGTTTAGAACTTGTATAAATCTACATAGGCCAATTAGATGAGAGGTGTAAGAAAGGAGCGGGGCCTTTCACTTAAAATATCTATCATTCTATTAACTACATTCCTGATTACTTACTAGAATTTAGTATGCTACTGTTAATATATTTCTGACAGAAGATATTAAAATATTTATGGAGAGATAACACTTTTAGAGACTCATTGCAACTGTGCAGCCACATTTATATACATTACTAAAGCAAAATAGTCCCGTGTAACATATATACATACATCCCCAAAATAGAAAATGAGTCTTATTAATCTGGTCCATTGAATGAAGTGAGGGGTGGAAAAAGGTTATCTTTAATGAAGCCCTAATTCCTATCACCAAGAACTCTGCATATACTCAAGTGAGAGAAAGTTTTGAAAATGCTCACATGGGAGAAACAGGAGAATAAAAGGTATCATATCATCTTAACAAAAATGCACAGGTCAAAATAAACGTGGTTCTTTCACAGGTAAACTGAAAATGGAGTGATAAAAATTAAATACTATTTATCCAGTTTGCACTTGCAAAGATGCCGTGAAAAAAAAAAAATGGTTACACAATACACACTACATCTGATTTTTTAAGGAAGGGGTTTGGTGCAAAAATAATGAACCAAGACACAGCATTTCCACCTTTCAAGATTTCAGCACAACACTGGAGAGTCACCTACAAGCCATCCACGAATAAACAAAGGAGATCTCTGGCAGGGGAGGGAGAGGAAGAAGCGGGGGAAGGAGACGTCAGATCCTTCCCCAGCCAGAAAGTACCGAGACAGCCAACTGAGAGCAGAGCTGTCCTCCGACCTCAGCAAAGAGAATTCACTCCTACGACTATTTCCATTCCACAAAAAAGGGGGATGGTGGAAATAGGTTTCTACCAATTCAATCAAGCAAACTGTGTGTCTGGATCGGGATTTTAATTCTCCAGACTACAGTTTGATAGACTCTTTGCAAGAACAGGTTGTCTAAAAAGTAACTATTCCACTCAACATTTATTCCTAATATTAAATATTAATTTAAACTCTACTCAGAGAGCTTTGCTATTAAACAATAAAGTCTTTGCTATTAAACAATAAGTAATCTAACAAACTGCCTCTTTACCAAAAGCTCTTATGCTTGGTAAAGAAGAAAGTTCACTCCTCTTTTCGTTCTTTCCTTTTCACCTTCCTTTCGCCCCTCAAAATGGCTTTCTCTGTACATTTTAACTTCCTTTCCCCTCTTCATCTCCCTTATCCGAGTAAGTCCTCGGTCTGAGATCCCTTTTACAACCCTAAGTTCTGACGCTCCGAGCGCACGCAGCTCTCTCCTGCCTCTCAACAATGACTGTTCCGTAAGTAGTTAAACCCTTTCAATCCTCTTCTTCTATCCTCTTTTAGCAGTTGCTTCGCTCCTGCCAAGTTTCTGAAGCTGTACTCGAAAAGGGTTTGGGAACCATCCTCCTCGCTCATCCACCCAGTGCAGCTTCGCTCCAATCAGCCTCCCTCCTGGAACTCCCCCCTCTCCCAGGGCCTCCATCCCGGTCGGTCCCGGAGTCTCTCTTCCCGCCTCAAACTTCCCGCAGACCCGCCCCGCGCCCTCCCAGGCTCGCCCGAGCCGCCGCCCCCTCCCCCTCCCCGCCGCTCCCCACGTGCTGAGAGCCCGGGTCCCGGCAGCACCGACGCGCCGGCTAAGTACTCGCCACTCGCGGTTCTTCCCTCGCGGCCCGGCCGGCCCCAAGCCGGAGAGGCCCAGGCCGGGCAGCCCGGGTGGCGCAAGGATGCGCCCTGCGGCCGTCGGCCTGTGCTCGCCGCTCACACGCCCCCTGTGCGCCGGGCCCGTCCGCCGCCACCCTGGCCTTCGCCCGGCCGCTGGGCCGACGCCTGGGTACCGCGTCGCGCCCGCCCTCCGCCGGGCCGGCTCCTGCCCTCCCCTCCACACCCTGACCCGCCCGCCGCCCCCTTTCTTACCGGCGGACGTGCGGGCTTAGCGGGGCGGAGGGAGCCGGCTAGGGTCGGCGGCCTCCCCCGCGCCCGGGCCCGCGATCTCAGCCGCCGAGTCCTCGGGCTCCCGGCGTCTTGGGGTAAGCAAGAGTCCGTGAGGGGGAGGGGGAAATGGGAAAGACGCGGAGGGGAAGGGGAAGCCCCGGCCCGCGACTCCAACGCGCGATCCCCTGCCGAGTGGATCCAACAATCAATTCATTATTGAAGCACCAAACGCGAGGGCAGCCAAAGCTAGAAGTAACGAGTCTTCGTCGCCACCGCCGTCGCGCGCGCGCTCCCGCTCCCGCCGCTTATCGGCCCCCGGCAGCCGCCATGACGCCAAGAGAGCGAGCGAGCGCAACCGTCTCCGTCGTAGCCGCCGCCGCCACCGAGGTCGCCGTCGCCTCCGCCTCCCGCGCGACGTAAGCGCCTCTGCTCACTCCCCTTCCCCACAGGACGCGAGGCGGGCGGGCGGGCCGGCAGGCGCGCGCACGCCGAACCCCTCCGGCCGGCGCTCGAGCAGTGGGAGGGACTACGTTGCGGGAGTTGTGGGCGTAGAAAAAAGCGATTGGTGCCGGGGCGGGGCGGAGAGCGAGTGCGCGCACGCGCACGGACGGAAGCGCGCACGCCGGCTGCGCGGAGGCCGCTGGACTCTGGCCGTAGCAGCGGCCCGCTGGTCGTCGCTCGGGTGCCCGCCCTTAGCGGTCCGGCTTTGAATTCCGGGAAGTGGAAGCTTCGGGCTCGCTCCGTGCGGGTATGGGCGCTGCCGTCGTTTGGGACGGTTGCGCAAGAACGTCGCGGAAGAGACAGAAGGAACCGGGGTGGAACTGGGGTGGGGAGAGACTGAAGACTGCTGCGAGACTCGGGGAACCACGGAAGGACCGCGCTGCGGAAGCCGGAGGGGCCGGGTTGCGCGTAGGGGCCGGGTCGCACAGGCCTCGGTCCGCACTCCCCCGGGCCCCTGCCGCGTCAGAGCGCCGGTCTTGGGGGCCGGGCGGGGACTGCTGCGTCACACCGGGCAGCCTGGGAACCCAACTGTTGGGCAACTGTGGTCGCTTCTCGCTGCCTCCTACGCTTGGGCGAGTTGTGACTGAGGCTCCCCCGGGGGCTGATGTACCGAACGGGCAGGGCGTGTGAGGAGAAGGAGAGAAAATAGAGATCGGGTTGTTGACAGCCTGCGTTACCGTTTGATTCATTTATGGGTGGCCTGGCTCAGAGAAGAACTTTTACAACCTTTCCTTTCTAGGTCCCTCCCTGAAGGGTGCGGCGCTGCATCGCAACAACAACAACAAAAAGCTACTCGAGGGATGTTGGTAACTGTCTCAGTTTAACGTACTGCAATTTAGTTGACGGTTTCATTCATAACTGTAACTGTGGGCCTTAGTTACAACCCTTCCAATGTGTTGGAAACACTGTCTTTTTAAGCATGATGGTGTCCCTCTTTATTTTTTGAAAGCATTGTTTTTTTAATCGAAATTCTTCTGCCCTTCATTTATTTTCCCAGTCTGCAGATCTGTCTTGAATCACTCGAGGTTGGTGATAATTTTCAAAGCATCTAATTCCATTCTTCAGTAATTTGAGTTTAGTCTTAAAGGCCCACCTTCCAAGTCAAGTGAGCTTGATTGCAGTAACATGCATTCCCCAAATAATTGTTTTCTCGTGTGGGAAATAACTTTGTTTATTTTTTATTTTCTTAGCTGTAGTTAAAGTTTCAGAGAAACTAACCATTAGCAGATAAAGAATTTTGTAATCAAAAATATAATTCAGATAATAAAGTTCTCAATTACAACAGCACTACGTTTTGTTATTGTCTTACAAAAAGAATTACTGTAAAGACAGTCTATTTTACATGTTTTCTGAAAGCACATGACAAATCTTTTTTAACTAATTGTGCCATCGAATGTGCTATTCTACATAAAAGCTCTAGCAACTTTTTCTGCAGAAAGCTAATCCTGCTAAATTTGTAGTAAAATATTGAAACTTGGAGATTTGCATTTCAAGTAAAATCTTTATGGCTTTACAGAATTACCCAGTTAAGTGGAAAATTGCAACAATCTTGCCAGTTCAGTTTCCTAAAAGTTGATAAATAATCAAAGTTTTGAGGTTTTTTTAATGACTTATTATCTGCATAGGTAAATTTGCAGTTTTGCTTTGTTTGAATAAACTCTTTGTCTCTGCTTACTAGTACTAAAACAATAGCCAAAGGGTTAATAATCACAACACATGACTAGTGAAAATTCCAGGTAATTAACATCAACCAGAAGGTTTTTGTGTCTATTTAATTTGCCATTTGGAAAATTTCGTATTCCTTGGAAAGAATATTACTTTTACAGAATCTAATATACCACTTTGTGGATCCTTAATTCTGATATTCTCTTCTAGGACTAGTTAGCAACAGATATTCATAGGTGGGAATAAACTGAGAACCATTTATCCAGAATTGCAAAATATATAACAAAAAGAAGATTATAACTCTTGCTCTTCTGTTAGTCTTTTAGAGGCCAGGATAAAATTTTAATTCCTTAATTATGTTCTTGTTGGGGTGTCTGTAATCCTAGCACTCTTGGAGGCTGAAGTAAGAGGATCCCTTGAGGTCAGGAGTTTGATACCAGCCAGAGCAAGAGTGAGACCCTGGTCTCTACCAAAAAAAAGAAAACTTAGCTGGGCCTGGGGACATGTGCCTGTAGTCCCAGGTACCCAGGAAGCTAAAGCAAGAGGATCGATTGAACCCAGGAGTTTGAGGTTGCAGTGAGGTATGATGATGCACTTTAGCTAGGTAACAAAGCGAGCCTCTGTCTCAAAAAAAAAAAAAAGAAGAAGAAAGAAAAAGAAAAATTCTTGTTGCCTAGAGAATTTACGTATGAGAATTCACTAAAACAATCAGGACAGTGTACTAAAATATCCTAGAATCTCAACCTGTGACATCAACCCCCAAATCCTTGCCAAACCAGAGGAAAGTCTTTCCAAATATGCTTCTTAAATTTAGAAAGTCTTCTGAATAGAACCCATGAAATCCTAAGATGTCTTATAGTAAAGATTTACTATGCATTTTATATTTTGCTAATCATAAAAAAATTAGAGAAGCCATGGTTCTCGGTGTTGGGCAGAGAACAGGGGACTGAGTCAGTTATAGAAAGTTCTTTTGTAACTACACAAGCTTGACACTCCTATTCCTCTCCTCTTCTGATATGCAGAGTTTCTAGGTTCTAGGTAGTGTTTGGAAAAATTTCCCAGTTTGTTCTGATATCCAACAGCTCATCCACATTGTAGCTCATCCACCTTGTTTATGGCCACTGTGGGGATTTTGACTGTTAAATTCTTGAATCATAATAAGTTAAATTTCAAATGGAAAGTTCTTAGAGATAATACTTAGAAGAAAGTATGTATAAAATCTAATAGGCATTGAGGTGAATACAAAGATTCCACTTCCTCTACTTAAAAAATTGTGTGCACACAAAGAAAAACGGTTGAGAAGCTAACCTCAAAATGCCAAATAGGTACATTGATGCTACATCACTCCTTCCTCTCACCTTCAATCCTTTAGTCACTGCTGTCCAAATACAATCGTCCCTCAACAGGAGAATATGAAGGACCACCAATAAGAAACAGTCCCCAATAAGGAACTATCTCCTCTGGTTTGGCAAGGACTTGGGAGATGGTATAATAGGTTGAGATTCCAGGATATTTTAATATCGTCCTGTGGCTTCTCATATGAAAATCCTTTAGGCAACAAGAACATAATTATGGAATTAAAATCTAATCCTGCGGCTGGGCACGGTGGCTCACGCATGTAATCCTAACACTCTGGGAGAGCGAGGGGGGGGCAGATCACTCATGGTCAGGAGTTTGAAACCAGCCTGAGCAAGAGCGAGAACCCATCTCTACTAAAAAATAGAAAGAAATTAATTGGCCAACTAAAAATATATAGAAAATATTAGCCAGGCATGGTGGCACATGCCTGTAGTTCCAGCTACTCGGGAGACTAGGCAGGAGGATCACTTGAGCCCAGGAGTTTGAGGTTGCTGTGAGCTAGGTTGACGCCACAGCACTCTAGCCCAGGCAACAGAGTGAGACTCTGCCTCAAAAAAAAAAAAAAAAGAAAAGAAAAAAAATCTAATCCTGCATCCAAAATATGAATCCCCAGATTTTGGTAAGCAAGGGTCCTGGAACCAATTCCCCACAAATACTGAGGGATAACTGTACCATCGATTTTAGCTGAAAAATTTTATATTTGTCCTTTTTAAATCCTACTGTGTTTAGTTTAGGCTTTTGTTTTCTCTACATCTTTACCTTAAGCTCACTCTTTTGGTTTTCTTTAAACTTGAAATTTAATGAAGTCACTCTCCTATTTATATTAATATACCGCATACATTTGTATGCATAAATTTAAATGAGTGAATATCATATATTCCTATTATTTTAATTAGCTTTTTTCACAGGCTGATCTCAGCACTGCCTCTCATCATTCCTAGTAGACACTTGACACTCTAGACACGTTTTTTCAGGTCATTGGAAAGATGTCTCTCATTGTAAATGGATATAGTCTATCTGTCTTCTGGATCAATCGCTTATAAGTTTATTTAAGTAAATGGTCAAGAAATGTTGAGTTCCCTGACGCAATTGTACTGACACCCTGCGAGACTCGTCAGGCAGTTCTCTGACCTGCCTCTTAGAACATGGAATTGAGCATTCTGTAAGTACAGCATGTCAGTGTTTTGTAATACAGCATTTGTTGCCATACTATACTGTGAGATCCTTGAGCAAAGAGAATCACTCTGTCCCCAGTGCATTATATTGACATTCGTTTGATAAAATGTAAGAATTTATTGCATACTAGACATTCTGCTAGAGGGTGGGGAGATTCTAATAGAGCAAAAAAGATACTTTCAGAGTAAAGGAAAGGCTAGTGCAGGAAACAATCACACTGTAAAATCATATTTGAGAAAAATATTAATAATATTAAGAGACATACAGTGCTGTGAAAATCCATAATAGAGAACCCTAGTGAGGAAAGTCACCTAAGGAAGTGACGTTATCTAGAACTGAAAAATTAGTATGAAGTAAATAGGCAAAAGAGGGACGTGGAGAGATTCTTTCCAGATAAATGATGTGAGCAAAAGTTCTGGAGCCAAAAAGATCATGTCAACATACTTCCCAGTTTGCCAAGGACAGGCCTTACTTTCAGAAGTGTCTGATTTGGATGCTAAGGTACATGGTCACCCTAGCTATATAGAACCATCAGAAACACGGTACTGCTGGAGCAAACAGCCACTGAACAAAATGAGGCCACATAGAGGCTAGCCATGCAGGACTGAAAGTCTAAAGTATATTCTTCAAAACAGTGGGAAACCACTGAGGGATTTTAAACCAGGTGGTACCTTAATGGGATTGGCAAATTGAAAACTTTACTCTAGCTATAAGTCCCTAAAAAGGATTAGAGATGAATCAGAGTAGATAGAATATTCCTGGCTGAGTTAGGAGGCTTTTGGCAGATAAATGAAATGGCATGATGGACTAAGGTAGTGTAATGGAAGTGTAGAGAAGTAGATTTGTGGAGAGAAAGGCTTGATGGCATGGGATTCAGGGTTAGGAGGAGGAGGGAAGTTGAACATTTGCAGCTGAATGGTAGTGACATCCACCTGAATAGTAATGTATTTGGAGACATATAGTTGGGGAGATTATATATATATGTTTGGTTTAGGATTTACTGAATTTCTGATGTTTTTGAGTCATCCAAGAGGCTTTTGGATAGAAGTATGGAGCTAAGAAGTGAGATCTAGACTGAAAATTATTTTACTTTATTTAATTAATTTATTTTTAGAGACAGGGTCTTACTATGTTGCCCAGTCTAGTCTTGAACTCTTAGACTCAAGGGATCCTCCTGCCTCAGCCTCCCGAGTACCTGGGGTTATAGGCTTGAGCCATCACATCCATCCTAGACTGAAAATTAAAGTTGTTAAGTATATAGGGAAAAATTAGTGTTGAGTGCACGTGAAACAGGCTTGGAAGACAGCCTAAAAGTGTGCAGTAAAGAACTTTAATTTATTTGGGTTAGGTAGAGGAAGATGAGCTGGATAAGGAGGTGTTGCAGGCTCCATGTGGGTGTTGCGCTGTTGAAGACAATAAGTGCTTCAGGGAAGGAGTGGTGAATAGTAGCCAATGCTGTTAAGGAGTCATGTGAAATAAGGCCTGAAAAATATCCATTTTATTTAGTGCCGTGATGGTCATCAGTTACCTTAACAAGAACTATTTTGTTACAGGAGGGCCAGATGCCAAAGTGGAGTAAAATGTAATAAGTGATGAAGAAGTGGAATCAGTAAGTCTAAATTTCTCCTTTAGAGGGTTTGGCTTTGACTTGGGAGGGAATATGATTTATTTGAGGAGGGGGTGTTGTGGGTTTTTATTTGTTTGCTTAAGTGAAAGACTTAAGGTATTTCAAAGACAATGGGAAATATTCTTTTGAGAGAGATGTTGACTATATGAGAGAACAGTTAGGTA